CTGTGGGTGGGTTTGCAATTTTGAAAAGGGTTTCATATTGGAGGGCTGATCATCAAAGGCTAATATTCAAGTCCCTTGAGTCCAATCAGGCTTTGAATCTGGCTGCACCACATCAGTGATTAAAAGAAGGAAGTTCTCTCTGAATATTTCAGGAAGCCAAGCTGTTGCATCTGCAAATAAAGCTGCTTTGTTGGTAATTCAAATAATAAATCACTTTTGTTTTTCCATTTTAAAGAAAAGGAAAAAACAAGCAAGCAAATGTATTAATTGTACTAAATAGTAATGAGTCTGGGTTTAATAGATAACCTAGACTAATTTAAAAGCAATTGCTTATTGACAGGAATGTAAGCAGTGAAAAAAAAGGGAAAAAAAGCAGTGGCTGTTACAGTGTCTTTGTTTGAGCCCCTCATTGGCCAAGAGACGCTGACCACAACTGCAACATCCCTGGCTCAACCGTGACTGGGGACCATTGGTGCATCTCTCACTCCCAACATTTAGTTTTTCACATTTCTCTGCTATTCTCAAAGAATGACCGAAGAATATTCATAGGTATGTTTTCTTTAGTGTATAATCACCTGAAAATAGGGTTTGTGTTTTTGTTACCTAAGAATGAGCCGTTTTTATCTACAGAGGGAGTGGGTCCTCTTCCATCTAGGTTGCCATGTTGAACCGCCATGTGTCTACTGTACAGTAACCCAGAACGAACAAACTAATGAATACTGGCTCTAGATAAGGCCTTTTCACATTTTTCAAGTTTTGTAGCCTCCATAGTTTTTCCTACACGTTTGGAAGGGGAGGGTGAGGCGAGGGGGCTGTACACACACCTCAATATAACATCATTGTCATCACCAAAGTACATGAATTTATTTGACTCTGCCAGACTACTGCCTGTAGCTGATGTAGCTACAGTGTATTGAAATTTCAAAACTTTCAAAACTTCAGAGGGAAATGTTTTTGCTTCTGTTCATTCTTTCTATGTCTCTCCAGCACTAATGAGTAAACATAGCTCAGCGTACAGAATACTGACCCATTCTTAAAACCAGTGTTTTACTATCAAGCCCCGTCATGGCCCAAAGGAACAAATAATATAATATAATTATGACACTGTCTAAACTACTGTATGTCTATGGTGTTTCTATTTGTGTTTTAGAAGTTATCTTAGTATTGGGGATAGGCTAAACAGCATGAACAGCTCAGTTTAACACAACCTACTAACAACATTATTACAAAATATGGTCTGTGAAATTAAAACCTTTGTGACACAGCATTAACAAAAAAAACCTATTAACATGCTGAAGAAGCAGCAGTTTTTTTTTTTATCTCTGTTGTTAGAAGATATTTTGTCATTCTTCTCTGTTTATTTTTTCTCTGTGTACAATAACTTTCTCAATTCTTTGTATAACTTTGTTGAATCCTAAAAGATCTGTAGTTTGTTCTGGCCATAGATGTAAAGATCAGGGGGTTCTCAGTTGGAGTGAAAACAAATTGTTAAACCACTGAGTGAAAAAGAGCTAATCAGTCCCTTCAGTGTAGTGTAAAAAAACACAACACACACACACACACACACACACACACACACACACACAGTACCATCAGATCAAGTTAAGTCAGATTCATTAATGAATCACTCTTAATACTAGAAGCAAGTACAGAGGTCATGGTATGGATGGAATCCAGCAGGGTAACATTAAAAAGCCACAATGTCACCATTAATGAGACAGACAATCTGCCAAGTGCTTGTCCTTCAGACTCAAATCTCATGGAGATGAATCTTCTGTATTTACAAATAACCTATTCAACAGACAATTTTCCTTTTCCACAAGAAAAAAAAAACAGAAAACAGACAGATGGAGGAAAGAGGATGAAAGACGTGACAATACTGCAGGAAGAGGCAGTATGGAGAGATAAACAGAGAAATGGCATGAAAGGTGTGTGCATGTGTGTGTGTGTGTGTGTGTGTGTGTGTGTGTGAGAGAGAGAGATGAACTATTGATACATTATTCAGGATCTTCCTTACATGGTCCTGAAAGGCTGGACTCATTGCAGTTACTGTTGTTTAGATCCTTTTTTAGAAGCCTTTAAGACTGAATATGAGACTATAATAAATATGACATTAATGGTACTATATATATATATATGTATATATATAGATATATGTGCATTATACATTATATTATATATATTTTTTATTATATTATATTATATTATATTATATTATATTATATTATATTATATTATATTATATTGGGACAAAGCCAAAAAGTCTGGTGCCACTTTTCAGTTCTGCTAGGCATAGACACTGGAGTAATATCAGCTGTGAGAATTGATTGTCCTGTTTTTCTCACAGGCTTCCTCCACAAAAATATGCTGCGGTGAGCAGAACCAAGCAGCAAGAACCATTTAGTTCCAGTATTGGTTAGATAAAAAAGTGGACCAAATCAAAATTTCACTCAGTTTACTGGTAGTATATGTGACCTTAATGCACCAATGTGTCTATATTCTAAAACAAAATCTCATTAAGCATACTACATACTATTTTCATAAGTATATTGCCTACTCTGTTTAGCTTTTGCATGTTTTTTTTATGCATTAACTTATTAACTACTTCTGATTTCAGTGCTCCTCCTTACTTGTCTCAACTGTATTTCAGGGTTTCAGTGTCCTTAATACAGCTTGATTCTTTATACAGCGTTTTAGAAGTTCAGACTTAGGTTGCTGGCACAGATCTGACTGATGTTACTGATTTAAATTTCATGTCCACACAATCTGTTCTACATTACTTTGGGTTATAGGAAAACCTTGTTGTGGCTTCATCAAAAAATTAAGAGTAAATGAATGAGTCTGAATATCAGATAAAATGCTACATAGTTACACTGTACTGAGATGTTGTGCAACCAGACTGCCTTTAACACTCAACCAATTTATTGTGGCCTTGATGAATTTATTAAACACACAAACCTCTAGTGTTTCAGTGACCGTTTGATCTCCTTCATGCCCTCTCTGCACTTGGTGATACAGACACCATACATCGAGTGGCCTCTGGCACAATGGCCCAAGAGGAGCAGAGAATTGAAAATGATGCAAACTTGCCCTGAAGCAGGTGTACTAACTGAGCATAATGAATGATGATGATGATGTGAGCAGAAAGAATTACAGATGGGATCTAAATGTTTGTTTTACTTACATATGCCTTTTTCTTTCAATGAACATTGTGCAGAGGAGCTCACAATACCCTCTGGGTAAGATATGGCAGTGTTCATCTGCTATTTTAACCATTAGGGATTGATCTTTCAAACGTCCCCTGAGTTTTAAGAGTATTGAAAACAATACTTAAGATGGATATAATTCAATATATATATATATATAAAAATATATATATATATATATATATATATATATATATATATATATATATATATATATTGAATTATATTGTCAGTCTTTAAATAACCTCATGTTGTTTGGATAAAACATAATAGGGAAGTATATGAAAACATCAGCAGTTATAAAACAGTATTTTCTAATACATATTCCCATACATTTTGTGTCATGTGATTAATAAACATTGTTCTTCAAGTTATCAATCAAATCTGAATTGGAAAATAAACAAGATAAAAACCATAAGCATGAAAATGGAACATTTACAATAGAAAATACAAAGTAGAATATTATTATAAAATAATCAATTGGAATCAATACCACTCATCTCTAACTTTACATTTAGCACCAGTACATGGGGAAGTTTAGGGCACTAATAAATATTTCTTCTTCTCTATAAAAACAGCTGTAACTCAAAACTGATGGGAAACTGTGTTTCCACAGAAGTGACACTAGATGAAGCTGTTGTCAAAGGTACTGGGCCACCTCCCATCAGCAAACGTTGGTTTCTGGAGAAAGACAGAGGAATCAGTTAATTAAAATGATATAGTATATTTACAATATAACAAATTACTTTATTCCTTAATAGTACAGCGGAATGAGGGCAGTTTAGAGTTTAAATTAAATAGCGTACCACTAAATGTGTATTAATTACCACCAACAGTGACATTTGCAACACATTGGTTCATTGTTGGGGGTAATCAATTTGGGAACATGCCAGCTCATCAGATCAATAGATGAAACTGCTTGTTCAGTTTGTGGGCACATCAGCACATGATGCATGCAGATTAGCTGTTTCCATCCTGCTGATAGCCCCATTACATCCCATTCAACCAGATGGATGAATGCCAGCTCTCACAGTTAGAGTAGCTGGGTTCATACTGGCACTCGGAGACAGAGATCTGACCTTATCGCTGATTAAGGGAAGAGCCATGTTAATGTGGTTTGATAACACATAAGAGAGCCTGTTTTTTCCTCTCGCATGTAAAGTGTAGTCTCAGGTTACAGTGCAAGTTTGGGGGAAATGTGACATTACCTGATATTCTTAAAATATGTTTTTGGCAAATCCAAACACTAAAACCAAGAAGGATTCAATCAATAGCTGATATTCGGTTGTTTCTATCCACACCTGCAATTTCCTCAATAATATGCATTGCCGCTCTGTCTCAACAGAGGGTGACATTGTGCTACATGTTTACAATAATGTGTTTACTGAACATAGTTTTCTTACATAACCATAACTGTTTTCAGTGTAACATAAAATGAGTTACACCCAGAGCAGTGAGAATCTGAAATATCTGCCCTTCCAGGTCTATTTACTGTCCTATGCTCTTGACAGCAACCCTGCATTGTATTACTCATTTTAATACGTACTATACGTATATGTTTAAGAATGCTTTACTGTTTTTGAGGTCTCTTTAATAATGTTAGTTACTTTCTGTGTTTTTAGCACTCACTAAATGGCTTTATTACTGTGACATAATAATAATATACTGTATATATGATCATTTCCATTTTTGCCATATAACCATGAAAAAATGGTAAGTTATCCTGTAGCAACCAAAAACTGGATTGTACTTTTAGATACTGGGTGAATACACATTATAGAAGGAACAAGCGTATTGTTTATGAAATCCCATTAAACTTTATTTCACTGAGTATACATATTCCATTGCACATTTAACATCATGAAAATGACTCTGATTGTAAAAATACACAGATATTGACATTTCATGTCTGACAATGACACCATCTGAATACTTTATGTAAGTATACCATTATGCAAAACTTCACATTGTCAGTGTGATGCAGAGGCAAAGCAGCTGTTACATCTACTGCAGATAAATCTACCCAACAACAAAACAACAATATTTTTTACATGTACTGCTGTCTATACAAAAATGGATCTATGTACACATGGATGAATTCATATTTACAGGGTTTAAAATAAATAAAATGTAGCTGGTCTATATACCAAAACTGTTCTTGAGAGAGTGAACTTTGCTTAGCTTGAGCAAAGTTTGTGTTTATTAATTTTATATATGTTTGTTTACATGTACTGCAGGTGGAATACCATAATCCTGTGATGAAATGTTGCATGCTTTAAATAATATGTGGAGTTCACACCATGCAACATTAAATACTGACAATAATTATAATTTTAATAATATATCAAACTAACAAAATTATTGCACAAGACAAAATGTTTCTCTTTAATATGTTTACTCACACTTAATGCTGCATGAAATGTATATATTCAATACTTAACCTTAAGCCACTTAACCTGGATAAAACTTCTTCCTTGGTACACTGAGGATTGCAGTATATTTGTCAAACATCTAAGAATATTAGGTCATTATGAGGGTGTAAATTAGAAAAATATGTATCTATAATTTAGGTTTATATATGTCTGAAGGAGAGGTATTTTACTATGTGCAAAAAATCTTATTAAGCAGAATTTCCTACAGCAATTGTACATTCACAATGGCTCCATATCAGAATAGTCTTTCATACCACCTGACTCATTCACATTCTCCATCAAAACTACGACCACATACTCCCCTTTGGCTGTCTCTTCTTATTTAAATGTATAACAAATGTTTTATAACTCTAATTGGATGAACACAATTAAACAGTGTTGCCCCTGTACAGCTTTTCTTTTTAAATCTTACACTTTTTGTCTTTAATTGATTGACTAACTAAGAATAACATTGTATACAGAAATCATTGATTCTCTGATAATATAAAAGGTTTATTTACATCTGTATCTTTTGAAACACTGATGTAAAGCAATCCTGTATTCTTATTAATAATGCATTATGAGAGCAAATAAAGCATTTTACAAGAATATACAATAATACACGCAAAGTTTATATAACCATTAATATATTCACATTTGGGCCTTTAAAAAAGATCTCCTATATCTGGACTAGCAGCCTATAATACAAACCTTTCCTTTGGTGTCAGTAACTAAAACTGGTGAAAGGGACCAATGAAAGCAAATGAAGCTGGAAGGCTTGACAAAAAAAAAGTGAAGCTTTTCACTCTTCGGTTACAGCTTATAAAGTTTAGGAAACACCTGTGGCTACATAACAATTAATGAAAGGACCTGAAGTGGAAATATTACTTCTTAAATGAAAGTCAGTGTGATTTGCAAATTATTTAAAAATCACACTTGAAACAGAAATACTGGGGAGGAGGAGTAAGAAATGAAGTTCATATGGGAGGTCAAAGACCATCTGTCATAAACCTAACTCTCCCTGTCTGTAACCCAAACAGTTTGTTCATAAAATGGTATGTCAATACAATTATCAATTTGAGGGGTTGAAATTCTCATTCATCATGTGTTTCATACTCTCTGCAACTGAACATGAAAAAGTTCAAGTTGAGTTCTAGCACGACTTCACATAAACATGTCTGAAACTGTTGATGTGAACACCTACAGTACAGTATAACTCAACAAAAAGCCATTTTATGCACATAGTGCAGCAACTGAGAAGTGACAACTGAGAATGTGAGTGAAACTAGCTTGTGTACACTGACTCAGCTGTTGCACGTGTTCAATCTGTAGAAAGAAAGGAGCTATAACAATTTTATTTTAACCTATCAAACTTGAAGTCTGAAGTCTGCACAATTTGAGCAATAATCTTATAATCAAATTGAGAAAATGTTTCACTGATTAGTTTCCACTTTCTGGCTCAAAGCACATGCTGTGCTGTTTGGTTTTGAAAACCTGCAAACCATCTCCATGTCTGCTGTGCAGTGTGTAATCCTGTCAAAAAGCTACCGCTACCAGGGTTGTGGTAGTACAAGCAAAGAATGGACATTGAAGCTACTCAAGCTACTCCTTTCAGACGACTTCAGCCTTGGTCAGTTCAGCAGGTTTCTTGTTACCTATCACTAAAAACTAGAGAGAAAGCAGATAAAAGTACAACCTGGTCCAACTCGTTCCTCTCTCATCTTCTAACAGCTCTCCCTGAAACGAGACAGGTTAGCTGAGAATAAAGTGAACTTGCTAACCTGCAACTTAGGTTTTGCTCCCCACAAAACCAAATGGTGTAAATAAAAAGTTGGGAGGGTAGAGAGAATCAGGTCATAGTCAGGACACTTGAAGACGGGAATGATTCAAGCTAGAGAATATCAAATTATTGGACAATTTTATGCCAAAATCCAGGCAGATCAAAATTACCCCTATGGTGCTAACACAACCACTCAATGATCCTCTGCCTCAGCAAGGTGAGGAGGACATTTGTTCATACTCTGGACACTTGAGGAGAGCAGGGTAGTTGGAGGAATTCATCTGGAGGGAGGCCTCAGAGGAGATAGAGGAGGGACTGCGACCACGTCCGGCCCAGGCGTCTGGATGGAGGAACTGGCCGGAGTAATCTGAGCAGTTGCTGAGGCGGGGCCTGTAGAAGCCCTGATGGGGCCGGTACATTTCCTCTGCTGTGTAGCGTTTCATGAACAGGTACACCGACATGACACCAGCCGTCTGGTTGGAATGAAGGCAAAGAGACAAAGTTCACTCTTGTTTACTCTCTCACTTTGTACCTCTGTTTCCTGTATAGTTCAATTGTACCAGCTTTTAATTATCTATTAGATTCTGCAGCATTTTGAGAGTGTTGTTAATTAAGACAGTTCTAAATAGGAAAAAGTAGCCAAACTAAAACTAGAAGAAAGAAAGAAATTTAATGTTCACCATTAGAAGTTTAATGTTCACCTGTGTCTCCTTTTGTCAATGAAAATTTAATAAAATGCACATGTGTGTACAATTCAAGCCACTTTAAATTAATTTGATTAAACTGAATGATTTGAGTTGAGTTGAGTTGAATGTGTTCAATGTGTGTATGTGCTGTATTCAGTTCAATTCAATTCAATTTTATTTGTATAGCGCCAATTCATAACAGAAGTTATCTCAGGACACTTTTCAAATAGAGCAGGTCTAGACCAAACTCTTTAAAACATTGTTTAAAACATCTGTGTGTATTTTTCTTTCTGACTATTTCTCACAGCACAATAGATATCTGAAGGAAGGGATTTGGCAAAATAAACACCACATGTTTAATGCATTTATTTCCTGTCCTTTTTGTGACAGTGCTGGATTACATGTCTCACACAAAGAAGGGTGATTTTAGGATGAGAGAAAAAGTTAAGTAGGTAAGAAAGAAAGTTTAAAGGACTAGTTTTGACAAATTGCTTGTGACTCCTGGCTGTGCAAATACATATAAGGATACATTATCCACATTTGCTGTGACGTTACCTCAGTTAGCAGGAAGGAGATGGCAGCAAAGGCAAATGACCAGCCGTACTTGTAGCTGAAGTAGGCCTCATTAGTTTTGGTTCTGTTCAACATTTCATCATTAATGTTGGAGATGTACAACACCAGACCGACTACTAGAGAGAGACCTGAGGGAAGAAAATAGACAGAAATATAAAACTCTAATGATTATGGATAGAAAGAAAGATTCAATGAAAAAAATATATTGATAGTATATGAATCATGTTGCCATAAATTATTATAAACCATGCATCTAGTGATCACATATTTTAGAATAACAGTATGTTAAGTAAGTATAGTAAACGTAAGTTAAATATCTGTAACTATGACCTTTTTAACTGTTTGTTAAATTATTAGTTTGTTTTTAGTAAAAGTCAAACCAAGTACCTGACAGGATGAAGAAGATTCCAGAAACGAAGGCCAGGATGGTGCGATGGGGTCGGATGTGGCCGATGTTACTGAGTACGAAACCAATGAACATGAAGAAGAGGCTGACCAGAGGGAAGGGTGTGGCAGAACGGATCATCTCTGGAAGAAGACAAGAAAACGGATTTGTTTGTTTGTGACTGAATTTGAAACCAGGACTTTCACTGAATTTGATTTGAGATGGCTGTTACTGCTTTGTTCTAATTTATGAGGTTTTTTTATTTGTTTTGTGCACTTCCTTCAGTGAATGACTGACATTTCAAATAGAAGTTTTTTTCCCCTTAGAATAGCAGCATGAGGTCTACTGAGGTCGGTCTTACTCGTCAAGTCAGAATTTCATGGGTTTAGGACATGGTTCCCTATTAATATTAAGATGGAGCTGGACCTCCCTACTGTGAGCAAATGGACCTCCCAGAAGTAAAGCAAGTCTGTGATACTTTTTTCAGAACCCCATTGTGTTCTCCATTAGACAAAATGTTATTCTTCCAGCTAAGTGGACCAGATGTCTAAGGCCATAACCCTAATGGAACTGGTTATTTAATTAGTTGGGTAAAGTTTGGATTGTGTGGTAAACTTGCCTATTAAAATCCAGTGTAGATAATCAGCAAATTCAGGAAAAGCTAATGAAAAGAATGACAAAAGATCCAATAGCAGGTGCAAGTTATTACAAAAAAGCTGCTTTAAAGTGTCAAATCTAAAGACAAAGCTTTATGACAGAGATACTTCGCCATTATATATTAATACATCAAAGCCATGTGACCTAATGTGAATGGACAGGTCCTGTATTAACCTTTCATGCTGTGGGCATTTGAGTTACTATTTCTGCATCCCTCCATCTGAAATTCTGTTACCATCCTGCATGTTAACTGAATTGTACCAGTGTACCTGGAACTATACTTTAATGTATTGCCCTGTATTTTAACTTTCAACTTGATTTTAGAAAGGAGCAAATTATTTCTTATTATCACTGTCAATGTAAATCCTTACATGCCTATATTGTGTTCACTTCTTTCTAAGATGCACACTTCTTTCACTTTCAGGTTTCTGTAACTAACAAGTTTCAGACTTGATACTGTAACTCTAACAATAAATTATCCTGTCTCCAACTTCTGTTTCTCTCATTCTTCTCTAATACAGTACTTAAAAGAATAATAACACCTTAGATAGAAGTTATTTGAAGCATTTTAGCTGCTCACAGAATAAGCAGATTGGAAAATGGATGGATGAATTCATTTATACGGGTATCCAATTTCTGTCAACCCTGTGTTATGACAACCTTCAGAGAGGGTTGTGAGGTGTGTGAATGCACCTAGATGATCAAGTAGTTCACCTTTGTCTTACTATGTTTTTCTTCTTTGACATCAAATCACCCTTCTTTGACATCAAATCAACTACATAGATGACAGCACAGTGCAGAAATGTGGAGTCAAGCAACAGACTTGAGTCTTGGTCAGACTTATCCTGTATGTGATGACTTTAGACTTGGCATAACAAAATCAAAAGAGGCTTTACACGCATTGCAATCCATGCCCACAATAATCCTACAGTAGCATTGGCCCAGAAAGGGCTGCAGACAGACGAGCGCCCTCAGTGACACATGGTGTTACCAGACACTTCTTTCACCTGCCAGCGATGAGGTTCACTGGCAGGGCGTAATGCGTTGAAGGTCCATGCCATCTCCCAGTTCCACCCACTGAAAGTGGAGAGAGTGCCAGTGCAGGAACAATGACAAGACTTCTCACTTGACTTCTCACCTGTGAACATGGCCAATTTTGTTTATTTGACTATGGTAGACTGGAACTTAATTCTCAGGGTTGTAGCGGATGGTAAACACATATAAAGGCTGTTTACAATAAAATACCATTTACGTAGCACCTCTGAGGGTTTATGCATTGTTTTAACAGCTTGTTCCCTATTGACTGTAGCTTGACAGTATAGGTTGGCTTAAATGGCCCTTGTGGTCTGCGATAAAGTAGCTGAGGTAAGGTAGGTTTTACCCGACATTTTTACTTACGACCCTGTTTAATCTAACCACCCCTAGTTGCCTCTTCGGTTCACAGCACAACACTTCAGACTAACCTCACAGTTTCACCACCCTAAAGCATTCCTCGAATATAGCTCATATAGTATGAACAGTTACTTACTCAGGACACTAACAGTGGACTCGGAGGTCATCTGGACGTTAGTGGGCATCACATACTCTATGGTAAAACATCGGCCTTTCTCATCCCCTGGAACAAAGAACAGGGAAAGAAATATATTGAGTACAATTTCACATTAATATTGAGTTGAAACAGGGTTCAGCACTCTACACAAGAACAAAGAAAAGTCAAGCACAGAAGCATGTACGTTACGCATGTATGTTAGCATAATACACAGACGTCTTGTAGCCTCTGCATGATCATAATACCTACCCTGGCAAAACATTCTTTTCAGTAAATAGACAGGAATTATTTTCACGTGCTGGAGGCTGTTGAACGCCACTTAAACAGAACCTCACAGAAAGTTGCAAGTGAACATGGTATCGACAGCTTGTTTCATATAATACACAATTTCTGCTGTCTGTATTTGTGTGAGGAACACCCAGCATTAGATTTTTGCACCTTCCCCTTTATTACTTTTGACACATGCAGTACAAAGTCTGGCACCAAAACACACTGATACACAAATACACACTCTTCCAACTTATGTCTTCATTAACACTTCATTAACCCAACACAGTATGAGGTGTTAGATTAGGTGATATTTTGTGGTTCTGCATATGTAAATAGCTTTCATAATGCATATTATGTGTTGATAATGCACACGAGAACAATGCATACTCATGCCTAAAATTAATGTACATTAAACAGTGCATATGGATGATGCATACTAGTACATACTTGAACTTATTTGGCTGTGTTTTGAATAGTTTTTGATATGATCATATAAAGAGTAAACTATGTAACCACTCGCTTGTTTGTCAAGTTCTGGAGGCACTGGCACCGGAACAGGGGGACAACAAAAGGTTTTATAGTGGAGGCTGGTCACCTCATCTGAAAAGACCACGTTTGCAAACATCATACAAGGAAATGGAGTTTTATTAAATAAAATACTGACTTTTAGGGAAATGAGCAGAGGGCCTGTTTCACTCATCAAATACTAAGTATTCATGAGTGTGGCTATTGTTTGCTCAGGCCATTAGTGACAATCTGGATGGTTTACCACCTTCGGCTCAACAACCTCCTGTCAGAAACCCTGGGATTTGAATCAAAAGATGCTCAAGAGTATAAATAACTTGTGAAGGCAATAACAATCAAGGATTGTGTAATAGAGATCAGAAGCCGGTCAATTATCTGTCCCCCACTCTTGCTTTTTATTTTGCTTTTCGCTTAAAGCCAGCATTCAATGTCCCTAAATGGAAAACATCCTCCCAGGGGAAGGAAGCCTCTGTGGTTCCCTGGGGTTTCCCTCCCCTGGGTTATCAAAAATCAGGCTTGTAAAGCTGTTGTAGCATGATTGTAAAGCTTGTGCTGTTTTTTTTTTTTACTATTTACCTCCACAGTTAGGCAACTGTAATTCTCAGTCCATTTAAATGTAACTGCAATAAAGGGTAACAATCACTATTACAGGTAATGTTGATTATGCTTTCACACAGGAGACTTAAAGAAGCATCTGGCTTAAAGGACACCAGTAACACTGCAATGCAATTATTAAAAATACAGTTTCGGAATAGATGAAAATAAATAAAAACATATGCAAATGTGATTTTAATAATGTTGTCTAGTGGCTATTGCAAAGCTAGACTCATAGTGTAATCGCATAAAGGGTAACCTATGCTTATACAAACAAGAAATACCAAGAATGGTAATTAATAGTACAAATGAAGACAGCGCTAAATTCAACCTATTTACTCAAAGTCATTGTTACAACCAGTTCTGCTACAAGGCTTACAGTCTACAAAACATTACATGACTTAAAGCAATCACAATGACAAAATTAAGCTCAGCCTAAGTTCAAGCAGGAAGACCTTATCATTCAGCCTTATTCATTCACAAATATCTCATTCTCCTCTAATTAGCTATGGCCATTTACTCTTTCAGTTAATCCAATCAGATTTAGCCACAATCTACTCCAGCCAATCATGCTACTGCCATCAAACTTTAAATCTGTGCTCCTCTCTGCTGCTTTCAGCTGTAATTACAGTGTGAACTGATTGCAACCCTCCTCCACCCCATTCACCGACAGTTCATCATATTCAGTGCCCAGGTTGAGCTCATCAGAAGTCCACTCCTCATCACATCCAGATCTTCAGCATTCTCTTCATTCCTTCATAACCACCACCACCACCACCAGTGTCTAGACTCCATCAGGGTGTTTCCTATACTAATCACGGCTTCAGCAACCCCTTCAAATACAATGACGTCACAATGGGGTCTAATCACCAAAGACTTCTCACATTTCTCATTGTCATTGTGCACATATCAAATGTATCATATAAAATCTATATGTTCCTTCAAAAACGACCTGATTGAATGGTCAGCGCTGGTTGTCGGGGTAGAGATCCTCTACAGGAACTCATGCTGGAACCAAATGCTAACAGCTAAACACTCCGATGAACTCAAACCAACATCAATACCAACCAAAACACCAAGCAAACTTGTTTGTGTTCTCTGGCATAACAACGTACTGTGACACTGTGCAGTAATTGTTTCTGGGTCAAACTAGAACAGTTAAGTGGGCAATAAGGCCACTCAATTGCCCCTAAAACACACTCTAGACCATTAGTCAATTTATACTGTAGCAAAGGCCTGCTACACAGCAGGAAAACATCTGTTACCTAATCACAACTAGATTGCCTACATAATGACATGACTGAATGATTAACCCTGAAACAGGACTGGGCAGGTCAGTTGTGGTACAGGGGTTAATGGAACAATTCAACAGTAAATGGAATAATATTACAGGATAAATTAACTCAAAACAAAAGCTTTTCCCATTTTTTCAGGTCCAACTTTCTAAAAGGCCCAAACTGAAATATTAATAAATGACAGCAGGCATCAATTTTTGTCAAAACATCTACAGTACACATCCAACAAGTATGACACCGCATATTGAGTTAACTGTCGTCATTACCAGTCAGAGCAAAGGGTAAGAGCAAAAGTTGATACCTGGTTTACTCTGGGACAACACTTGTCTGGAGAGTTGTGTCTCTAAGAAAAGAATAAAATCTAACAGTTAGTGTGTCTTTTCCAATAAAGACCTCAGAGCATGCCTTTGTGATGTTGGAGCTGGGGAGGAACAATGTTTTGAAAGGCCAAAAGGTGTTTAAGCATGCACTGTGGGAATATGTGAGCTTTTCTAACTTGCTCTTGTTTTTCATGTTGAGTGCGATGTTGGCAAAGAGATGCAGGTCAAAAAGAAGGAAAAAGAAAAGCAGTCAAGGAACAGAGGACTTTCTGCATCAATCCAAGGTGCTTCTGGTGCCACAGAATAGAAGTCAGCCACAGGATAAGTCATGAGGAAAGACATCTAGCAAACCCAATCTTTCAACTGGAATAAAAATACTTGACATTTTCAAGGATACACCCTAGAATTAAAGCAGAGTGTGGATATCAAATATGAAAGAAAACGTACTGCTTGTATCGCTGCACAGAGGTTAAGGCAAAGTTAAAATATTCATGCTCAAGTGTTTAAACACTAAGCAAAGACTTATACTTGCAACACTCTAGTGGTTAGAGAGGAGGAAAGAAAGCGGAAAGAAACACAGGTGACTGTACATGTGCAATACACATTACACAGAAAACTAGATATTGAGGTCCAGATTCACCAAAGCTTTGTGCAGGACAGAGCACACTTAAATAATGTGGTTGCATTAAGTATGTTTGCACCTATCATGGTGAATGACTTTTAATGTAAACTATATGTACACTTTAATATTTGGTGGTTTGAAAAGTTGGTGCTTCTGAATTTACAACTAGTCCACAAATTAGTATCCGTTATTATTCATTTATTTTGTTTCCTTGAAAGATTTTGCATGAAATATTTTCATGCAGAATGACTGGCTAATCTTGCATCTTGTTTGATTGTGCAAGTTCATTTTGCTTACATTTCCTAGTGAATAACTGATATGTCAAACTACCACTGCATAGAAATATTGGTGAATCTGTACCGTCACTTTGTATTTTTGCCTTTGAAGAAATAAATCTTATACATCTAAAATGTTACTTTACATTTTGATATATTGCCTCACTTAGATTAGTAAGTAAGTATCAGTATTTACCACTGATAATAATCAAATGCATCACTGGTCACTAGTCATAAAGCTACGGCTCTGAGCAGAACAGTGTCTGAGTGAAATAGAAGTCTTGAAATAGAAATGGTATACATGAAGAGTGAGGGATAATCTATAAGTTTCAGACTTGATACTAACTCACCAGCCAAGAAGCAAACCCTCCAGAGGCCAGAGTGGAGGGACATGCGTATCTCGGTGCTCTGGTTGAGGGGAAGGATAACGCCCTCCTCCAGGTAGAGCCAGTAGTCGGTGCTTACAGCGATCCCCAACAGGCCCAGGGCGCAAACAGCGAACACGCTGCTCAGCAACGTCAGCGCCTTCCTGCCACATAGGCTCATACCACAGCCTCAACAGCAGGGGGGCGCCGCTGGCAGAAAGGAGAGCTGGGAGAGGGAAAGAAAGAACAACATCTTCACCAAGTTCACCAACGTTAAGGGGAACAAGTTATCATAGAAACCTTACAGAGACAAGATCAAACCATCCACGTGGGAAGAGAACAGGAGAACTGGAGGAAACCAATGAATAACATTTTCAGAACAAGAAAAACTACAATGGCAAGAAGTTGCTGAATTTTTTACTCTTGAGGACAAAACTTATACATGCTGTTCCCTAAAAGAAAAGCAAAAGCTTCTTATAGCTGAAAAAAAAAAACTTTATAACTATATAAAGCAAATCAACTTGATTTGAGGATATTCTTGATACTAGTGGAGGAACTATACTGTCTTATCTATTAACACTGATTTCTGGAAAGTTCTTGTCACAATTAGCACAGGTAAAGATGCTATGTAAAATAGTTAATTTTAGTTTTTTATTGTTTAAAGCTGTAACAAGGGAAACGACTTTCATTTTTTGTTGATTCTGCCAGCCCATTTGGACACCACCTTGTTTAACTGATTTCAGGGGGAATATGACTGAATCCGACCCAATGGCAGGCATCAAGAATAACTATATAGAAATAGCCACTCTTCTCACTGATGTGTGTACTTATATAGATCATATAGAGGCATCAGTAATAAATTGAGATAGTTTAAATCATTAATGAGTCATATGTGATGGGTTGGAGGTTGGCATTGGGAGGCAGATAGTGTGTCTGTGGGTTTATTGTTTCATCTTAATTCAGGTTTATAATGGAGATCTTCCACAGCTGCTGTGACTGTACACCAAAGACTCCGCATAACAGCAGATGACTCCAGTCACTGATCAGACGGAAATTAATGGAAAGTAATAAATGGGATTATGATAATAGATAGCCTTAACAGAGACTTTCTTCCTCTTAGCTAAGAAAGAAATCTGGGAAAGATTCCCTCTCCTCCAATCTTTCATTAGAATTTGAATAACCACATTGTGCAGGGCCAATGGCTTAGTGGGGCATGTTAGGAAAAACATTATGTAAAGTTTTTCATTTGACTGCCCTCATGTTGCCCTTCAGCCCAAAAGCTGCTGTATAGCTCATACCACTGATAATGTTCAAAAGAAAATTATAAGATTGTTGTTATTTCCTTTTTTTTTTTGCTAAAACCACACACAATTCCTAGTATCTGATATAAATCCACTTCCACATCTAGCAGCATTGCAGATGGTGTACAGTATGTGTCAGCATATGAATGTGAGCGCTCATCACACAAAGCAATGGATCTGTTCGTATGGTAGCTGATGCCCACATTTGCCGGAAGCTGGAGCACTGGGGGTGCCTGGCATGGATATGTGTTGAAAGGAATTGATTTTACATAATGAGTTCTCAGTGGGTTGCCACATTGAACACCCACTGGGCGGACTGCAAAGATTGAGTGAATATGTGAAAGGATTTTGAACTTTTCATAAGATTCACAGCATTTACTGTGGATCAACTTCTTGTATCAGGACTGGATGTAAAGCCATAGAGAAGGGAGATCTCCACACATCTGCCAGCTTCTTGACAGAACAGACAGACATACAGATAATGGGCATACATAAAGCTTTTGAAAGGATGCAGCAACTAATATTTCAACAAATTGCATGTTTTCAGCAGAGTAGGAAGAGACACTGGTGCCAAACATATTCAGATTTCCTGCACCCCATATAACTGCAACTACCAAAGCATACAAATATATACTTTATAAAGGCAATGCTATATCATAGAAAACAAGACAAATGAACTTAATCAACAAATAATTTTATCTGTGTGGTTAAATTGTGTTTAATGCATATATCCTGTGCAGTATGCCCCAGACCTCATTCCTCTTATGGATGTAAATCAAGTTGCCCCACTTCTTAGATAATAAATCCTAGAGGACTGTTGTTGTAAGTCTAGCTCTCACAATTAATAAGATTTATATGCTCTACACATGCACACTGTTCATTTCTCTTCTTCCTTTGTAACAGTGTTTATCTGTTTCGTCCCTCATTAAAGTAATAACCTCAAAGATTTTCATTTAAATTAATGTCTGTGAAGTCACTATCGCTGAATGAGGTAACGCAGAGGTGATTGAGCCAATGGCTCACTGATGAATGCATTGTAATACATTTCCTACTGCTGCAGCTTTACATTAAAAGTATTTAACTGGCGAAACACGAGTTGGCTTTTTTTATGAAGTAGTCACAGGAAATGCAATGTCATTGTCAGTGAGATTAGCAGTGACCACTATCAAAAATGCATCTATGAAATAAGACAATGGTCATTTTTTGGGACAATGGGATTTTTTTGACAGTTTGAAATGGAACAAGAAGGAGCAGCCACAGTGAGCTGTTAGATGAAGAGCTGCTGGCGAGAGGCTGCACACCTGCAACTTCTTACTTCTTTATGACTACAGTTATAAAAACAAAATAAAATATTATTGAAATTAAATCAAAATTATTACTATTACAATTTCAAACAAAGGAAATAGTAGTGTAAAATAATAACGGTTGTTTTTCCTGCCTCTTAAAACTGGACCTGCCTTCACAGGTCAGCATGTTATGCCAGAAAGAGTGATGGTGATTGGAAGCAGTTGGGATGCATGCATAAGCAATCAGAATTCACCAAAGCACAAAGGACCAGCATTAATGAGAAAGGGACTATCATTAAACCACAGCTATTCTTGACCATGGTGCAATCAGTGGCAATTCATTTACAATGGCCATGTAAGAGCTCTATTTTCAGTCATTTAGCATCAAGCTACAACTGGAGGACAAGATGCATGCTTTACATTCATAGACCTTCTTGTATTACTGTGGTTGACAAGAGGGCTGTTTTAAGTTGTACAGCACAAAGCACTCATCTAAGTGCTGATTGCACCTAAATATGGGCATCTACAAATAGGGTGACTGAAAGAGATAGAAAAGGATCTATTTCAAGCCCAGACAAGGATACTGTAATGATAATGATAATGCTAAAAGGACACTGCACAAACCTACTATGAGGTTTTCCCAAGACAGGTAGAAATAAATCAAAACCAGGTTTTCCCTGCATATCTAAATCCTGTCCACAGTGTTAGCCAGATAAGTCTATTTTGAGCACAAAACACCAGGATAATGAAAAGCAGCTGAATGACACTGTATCTGCTTCACAATAAAAGCGTTTCATTAAATCATGACTTTTGCTCTGAAGTTGGTGCATGCTATGCTGAGTTACAGTCACCTGGGTAGTTTAGCTTTGCTTAATTGGGTGTCAACTAAGGCCACATGTGGACATTCTTTTGTGTTTGTTTTTTTGTTTTGTTATTAAACTGCTTAGAAAACATTAACAACATTAACACAATGAGACCACAGCATGGGCCCTCTAAAGTGTACTTGCAAGCTAGAACACCTTGTAGCATGTATACATTAGCACTGTGCTGATTTGTCCGCACAGGTCAATAATGGCTAACACCAATAATTAGACATATGAATAAACAACACCTGATTTTCAAATAACACCAACTAAAATTGGAGAATGGATGGATGAGTGACCAAACAAAAAGCCAAACATTTAAATCCACAAAACCAAAACTTCATCACACAAAAACAGTCACAAAGCTTCTTCTCTGTGCTGCTGATGCTGGTCATGGTCACTGTACATGCACATTGTGGACAGCTTTGCATCACAGCAATGATTTACACTAAATATGGAGATCCAGATGTTTTACTGACAAACTCCCTATTGTTGAAAGATGGACACGGTGGTCACTTTTGGACATTTTGTTTCAGTGTTCCCTCTAAAACATAGTTTGTAGCCACATTATATTATTAAATAAAAGTGTAATTTATTTCAGTAGTAAACTGTTTATTAGATAATATGCAGCATCTTTTGGTCATCTGTTGGGGGGACTTTCTCTGAAACCAAAGTGCGCAGAGTATTTCCCCAAATATTTCCTAGTGTTTGCCGGATCTGTGGAGAACGCCATGTTAGCTTATGGTGGAGTTGGCGCACCATGTACAAAGGCTGAGTCCTTGCCAGGGGTTCGAACCCTTCCTGTGGCCCTTTGCCAAAAAGGGGTCCCACATCCAGGGACCTACTATTGTGTGTCCTGGCTCACTGGCATGGATTATTTGGATGTATTAGAGCCATCTTTAATGTTGCTCTGCTTGCTGATATAACCAGGAGTGGAAAATTAGGGAGAAAAAAAAGGGATATGGCATTGCACAAAGCCAGACACAGAACAGGCATGTGTGTTTGAGGATGAGACCCCATTGTTCAGGTCTCTAAAGGATTATAAAATGGTGGCCGATCTCAGCTAGAGAAAAAAGGTTAGATTTTTTTTATAGAGAAATGTTTCTCATTAGATGTTCAAAGCCACCGCAACCAACAAAAAAGCCTTGAGGTCCCTCTGTGTCTGCAAAGGGATACACAAAACACTGTCTCATGCATAAACATCAGCATTTCCTTTCAAAAACATGTTACGAGTCCACAGCTGCTTAAAAATGGCTTTGCCATTGTTACTCCTTTACCCTCAAATGTATATCTCTTTTGCAAAAGAATAAACTACATTTTATTAATTTTTAATCAAGTTAAAATTACAAAAATATTCTCACAGATGTTTACAGATCCACTGTGATATCCACAATGTAAAAGCATTTTTCTAAAGGAAAAGTGACAAATATTGTTTACATTTTCAACGATTACTGTGATACTGAACAAAACCACTAGGGGTTCAGCAGAGGCCATGCTGGTATCAAGTAAGGCAGATGCACACCACTGCTAGAGTAAAGGGCACGTCATCACAGAAAGTAGGGCATTCCTCTTCTGACTTTGTTAACGTAACCTCCTGTCAACCTTAATTTAAACAGCTCACCGCCAAAAATACCCCATTTTCCAAGACCAACTGGAAACCCAATGGAAAGACAAAGAGTAACACAGAAACACACAGACCTCCGGGGCAAACCACATCTGTGACTGGTCAGAAGAAGGCAGGGAAAGAAAATCGCTGACCTGCAATGTAACTAAATG